CCGCCAGACCTTGCCCACCCGCCCAGACCGGCAGGAGGGGCCGCCCGGAGCATCTCTCCTGCCCCCGACACCTACCTCGGGTGGGGATGCTCAGCTTGCAGGGCAGCGCCAGCGGGGTGATGGCGTGCTGGTACACGAAGGCAGAGAGGCTCCCTGCAACACAGAGCCGTGAGTCGGGGGGTCGTGGTGCCCGAAACCCCCCACCCACGTGCCTCTGGCCCCATAACAGTGGCCCAAGGAGCTCAGAAGGAGGGAAGGGGAGGCTGAGCTGGACTCTTTGGGGCCTCACAGGGTTTTCCAACGCCCACCCCGTGTTCCTGTTTTGGAGCCTGCTACCGCAGTCTCACTGGCAGAGAAGGGTGGGCAGGAGCCAGGGGCTGGAGGGCCCCCACGCCAACACGCTGCAGGGCTGCGGAGCCGCCCCAGCCCTGGCCGGCGCTTCGAGGGGCTTTTGGAAAGAGCTCCTGGGGCTGCCAGGGCTGCTGCGGGCAACGGCCCCGTCCTTACCGAAATACAGCTCCTCGCTGGCTCCTTTCAAGCGCACCCCTTTGGCAGACGACTCGATGAGGAAGTGCCGGACGAGGTCACTGCTCTCATCGCCTGCAAGCGGGGCTGAAGAACAGCATCAGCACCGGCATCAGCACCGTTGTTTCGCCCCAGCCCTCCCCTGAGCACCCCGGGGCATCCACGGGAGTTTCTGCTCTGCGTGGTGAGCGCGGTGCCAGCCCCCGGGCGGGGTGGGATGGGCAGGCACGGACCCCGCTGCCGGCGTCTCTCGCACAGCCAGAGGCCTGCAGCTTCTCAGCTTGCTCTAGCTTGACCGGTTTCAGTTAAATCCTTGAAGCCCACCCCACCTTTCCGAGCGAGTCCCGGTACCTGTCTGGCTGCCGGAGGGAGAGGCGGGAACCTTCATCGCCAGTCCAAAAGACCCCCGGTAGGACGTGCTGTCCCGCCGGACCCCGCTGCCGGCGTCTCTCGCACAGCCAGAGTCCTGCAGCTTCTCAGCTTGCTCTAGCTTGACCGGTTTCAGTTAAATCCTTGAAGCCCACCCCACCTTTCCGAGCGAGTCCCGGTACCTGTCTGGCTGCCGGAGGGAGAGGCGGGAACCTTCATCGCCAGTCCAAAAGACCCCCGGTAGGACGTGCTGTCCCGCACAACGAACGTGCCTGGCTCCTTGTCCTGCAGCAGCTGGATTGCTGTCAAGGCACAGGCGGAGGCTCAGCCAAGCAAAACAGGTGGAACCTCCCCGCTTTGCATTTCGCGTCCGGCCGATGCTCTCGCGGGGAGTTGTTCCCTGGCAGCAGCGGGAAACACTCGGGAGCGTTGGCTGAGGACACGCACGTCCCTCGTGCGGGTACCGACTGCGGTGCCCCCGCGGAGCGAGGGGCCCTGGCTCGGTCCCGTGGGTCCCTGTGCTCCCCAGGACAGAGTCAGCCCCTGCCCAGGCCATGCTGAGTAGCAGCAAGTCAGGGGCTGGAGGAGCTTTGGTGGGCTTGAGGCGGGGACTGAGTGGCTGTGGCATGGCCTGTGTTTCTGACCCTTCCCCCTAGACTGTAGGGGGTCTCTCCATGCCCATCAGCCCCCAGTATATGTTGAATTGCCCCCCCCCGAGTCCCCAGAGGACCTCAGGACGGGCAAGGGCAGGACTGAGGGGCTGTGCAGCAACAGGCAGCAGTCCTGCAGAGGGCGAGTCTGAGGTGGGGCTATCCCAGCGGAGACACCTGCTGCCTCACCTTGGTCCCTGGTGATGCTCGGCTTGAACCAGTACTTGGAGGTGTCCATCACAAACTTCATGGTCGGCTGCCCAGCCCTGAGGGGACCTGCAAGAGACCTTACGGTGTCAAGGCCAGTGGAGGACCTGAAAGACCTTCACAGCAGACATCACGGAGCAGGACCCTAGGAGCCCTAGCAAAGACAGTTCTCTTTCAGGCTGGCCAGGGTTGAAGGGTTTTTTCAGTCCTTTTGAACAGAGCTTCTCCCTACTCCTCAGAATAATTAATCCTCCACGTAATTATCTCTCTTGGCAGGCTGCGATGGAGCATGGAGAGGCAACACGTGGAATCCCCCAGCAGCGCCAGTCTGCCCAACCCTGCACAAGTCCACTGGACCACGGGGATTTACACCAGCTGAGGATCTGACCCACAAAGCCCTCCTGCTATTCCCGTAACAATCCCAATTAAAACCCTCTGCCCCGAGAGCTGCCTCTGCTAATCCCCTCCAGAGAACAATAGCCCTATTGTTTACCCTTGAATGAGGGACCTTATAAACTCTGGTATCTTTAGATGTGCTCCAGAGCAAACTGGAACCCAAACCCCTCCTCCCCACCCATTCTAGGCCCACAGACAAGTATGAAATGACAGAATTATGGTTCTCATTCTCAGGTACTATAAATGAGTCTATCTGCATCTCCTTGAGGGGACCAGAGCGTTTCTGCTTGCTGGGTGTGTGCCCCAGGACCCCAGGGGGCAAACCACCACGGCTGATGCAGGGTCACCAGCAAAGAGCTGGAGAGCACCGCAGAGCCCTGCAGCCCTGTGGAGATGCTGCGAGGATCTCCACCGCCAGCAAGGACCTCCTCTCCTTCATGTCTACAACCCATAGACGAACCAGACTAGAAAAGGGTGTTTGCTCCCCCTTTCCTGGGAGCTGTTGGGGTCCTCAGCTCCTTCCCCCCACCCCCGGCCTGCCCCACGGCAGGGAGGTGACTCACTGTCCGAGGCGCAGGACAGAGCTGGTGCCGACAGCGCGTTGTTCAGGCCACCGAGCCTCGAGGCCGGGCTGCAGCTGGGAGCGGGGGTCTGCTTGACAGAGGCTGGGGGGGCTTTGTCCAGCCTGGAAGATGCATCTCCTGGTTCCAGGCACCCGTTCACCAGCAGCACTGGGATGTCGGCTGCGGAGTTGAGGATGGAGGGGGGGCAGCTGCTGGCCTGTCCCTTCTGGGATGGCGAGGGGTTGACTTTGGTGGAGCAGGCTGCCCTGGGCTGGTGGGGACTCAGGCCAAAAGCTTCTCCAGAGTGAGATCTGATGCTCGGGGAAGGGGGGCAGGGGCTGCCCAGGGAGCTGGCAGGGGACGGCCAGTCAGCGGAGCAGCAAGCGGCGGGGTGAGCATCCGAGTCGTCGTTGTGAAGCGAGTGGGTGCTGCTGCAAGAGGGAGACAGAGAGCAGAAGGAGATCAGCGGGGTGGTTTAGCTGGGATGCTACGCACAGCCCACCCCAGGGACTGCCCCAGCCCCGTGGCACATCAACTCCCAGCCTGAGGAAGGAGGTCTTGGACAGCGGGACTTGGGGTAACCCCCCTGTGCCCCTTCCATCCCCATCACCAGCCCGAGACTGGGACACAAGGTGGCATTTACCTTCCAAGGACGTAACTGGTGTCCGAGCCGGGGCTAGTGGAGAGCAGGGAGACCCAGCTGCTCCTCTGCTGGGCCCTCACCACCTGCACGGGCTTCAGCAAATTGTCGAAGCCCGGGGAGGTG